GCACTTGTTCCTAGTAGCTTCTTGTTACTACTAGTAAGGCACTTGTTACTAGAAGCGATGCACTTGTTCCTAGTAGCTTCTTGTTACTACTAGTAAGGCACCTGTTTCTGTAGGTTGGAGGCGATTCTATGTTCGACGCCTTGATGAAGCGTGAGGGCTTAGGAGTCGTGACCTCAGAAGCGAAAGCGAGATCGAGATCGTGGTTTCCGGTCGGTCGGGATTTCTTCCTAGCAGTCTACTTCCTACTAGCGATGGCCTCCAACCTACTAGCAAAAAAGAGGAAAGCAAAGGACAAACAAATTGTTTAAAGTAAGACAGGAATCAATAAGCCATAAGTCAGTAGTAACAAGTGCCTTACTAGTAGTAACAAGTGCCACGCTAGTAGTAATAAGAAGCTAGTAGGAACAAGTGCCACGCTACTAGTAACAATAAGCCATAAGTCAGATAGGAAAGACGAAAAGGACTGAGAGAAGAAGAGAAAATCCAAACGCATCCTATGTTAAGACCCAAACAAGAATAACATGGACTCAGTTGCCCTGTTCAAAAGCAAGATAGTTTTCCAAGAACGTACTTGCAACATAACCTATGAAACCACAATTCTGGATCTGAATAAACCTGTTGCGACTTGCGACAAACAAATCAAAACAAAGAAACAAGCTACCTCTAGCTACTACCTCTAACGGCCTACCCCACCCCGCGAGCGCATGCGCAAAAGAAAGGAATATAAAACACATTCACAATTGGTATAACTCATCGAACTCGAACAAGCCTTGGGTCTCCTGCATCAATGGGCGCCATGGGCGCTGCCGTGATAACAATCGAATCGCCGTTGGCCTCGGCCTCGCTGGCCTCGTTGGCCTCGCGGGGCACCGGGAGGCGCTGCTTCAAAGTTGTCAGACTTGCAAAAGCTACGAACGGAACAAAGGGCATCGCTACTAGTAACAAGTGCCTTACTAGTAGTAACAAGAAGCTACTAGGGACTCCTGGCATCGCTACTAGGAACAAGAAACTACAAGTAGCTAGTTACTACTCCCAGACACTCAGTAGACAAACTTACTAACCACGATTTTCCGTCGAAGTGAGGTTTGAGTAGTGAAAAAAGAGGACCGTCTAAGAAATGACACCTTAGGAACAAAGTTACCATAGCTCCCTTGAAGGGGGGTGGACGTAAAAACCCTTACCTATGACTTCTTCCTTAAACTTCATCTCAAATGACTAGGAACAATAAGCGACTAGGAACAAGTGCATCGCTTCTAGTAACAAGTGCCTTACTAGTAGTAACAAGAAGCTATTAGAAACAAATCGACTTCTCTTCTCTTCTCTTCTTCGACTTCTTAAACTTCATCTGCTCTTTTCCGAGAAAGTTAAGTTAAATTAACTACTAGCTTCTTGTTATTACTAGTAAGGCACTTGTTACTAGTAGCGATGCACTTGTTCCTAGTAGCTTATTGTGTACAGGCACCTTTACGTGTCTGTCAAGGTGCAGCTTTTTATTCTGTGCCGCTTCGCGCAAAGAGCTCCTGGTGAGATGTACACACATTTCGACTGCGCAGAGGAGCGCGAAACACCGTGCGCATTTTCGAACTTCACCACACAGGAGATCGCAGCCGTTTTACTTCGATGCGCAGATTTGGTGGCAGGCGCAGCGAACCGTGAACTTCGGACACGGAGTTTGTTTTCGGAATTTGGTGAAAGTTTTGAGCATCCCTACTAGGTTGGAGGCCATTGCTATTAGGTTGGAGGCCATCGCTACTAGGGTGCAGGCCATGGCTCTTAGGTTGGTATTGAGTGAAAGTGAAAGCGGAGTTTGTGAAATTTTATGTCAGCTGCGAAATGCGTGCCAGGGCTGCACTTTGTGAACGTTGAAGTGCAGATTTCGTGTCAGGCGCAGCGCTTTGTGAACCCTACAGTGCAAATGATTACACTACCACGACCACAATACCACCACCACCACCACCACGACTACCACCACGACCACTACCACTACCACTACCACTACCACACTACCACCACTCTACCATTATACCACTACCACTCGACCATTATACCACTACTACAACTACCACCACTACGACTGCCACAAGGACAACAAAACCCTTTTTCATTCATCATAGTAACAAGTGCCTTACTAGTAGTAACAGGTGCCTTACTAGTAGTAACAAAGAAGCTATTAGATTTAAAATAAATTTAACAGCATGATCTTCTGCACGCCATTTGGAGTCTCTTGCCGGGGTGCCACGCTACTAGAAACAGGTGCCACGCTACTAGAAACAAGTGCCTTACTAGTAGTAACAAGAAGAATTTAATTAAAAGACAAACATGTTTTTCTCTTTCGACATTGGAACGACGTTTGTTGGTTGTGTTTTGTATTTGCCTGCTTCTCTTTCTATCGTTATGGGAAATGGAGGAATGAATGGATTCATCGAAAGACCATCACAATCTTTCCCCAGCGTTGTTCCTTGTAACAATGGCCTCCGACCTAATAGCAAAAGGAATCTATAGGAATCTAGTAGCGATGGCCTCCCAGCGATGGCCTCCAACCTACTCGTTTAAGTTTCAATCACGCTGCTTCACCGACCCAAACGCAAGATGTATCGATCAAAATTCAAGATCGGACGAACCAAGGGTTCCGACATCGAATATGCCCAATTCTCTCAATGCAATTGAGGCATTAATGTGCAGAGTACTGGTTTTGCAAACAGGAGCCCACCTCAGGAAAAGTGCTCTCTGGGCAAGACCTCCAAACCAAAAGCAGAGACAGATGGAAGGAATGATACCCCGCCAAGTGCCAATCTGGCAAACGTCTTAAAGTCCAGAAATTTTGAACGCCCTCTTGTTCAATTTGCACGTGGGCCTTCGACCGATGTATTTTTGAGAATCCCTGTAATGACAAGCAAGCAAGAATTAAGCACTTATATCAACTTATATCCATGTCTCTTCTTTCTTGCAACAATTAGTAACTAGGTCCTCCACTTTGCCAGAGTCTTGAGCACGAATCGACCCCGCCTTGGGCCAGCTGTTGCTCCTGGCATTGGCTTGGGCCTGTGCCAATTCTTTTGTGCGGAAACAACACGCCAATAGGACCGGATAACCCACATATTAACAACTTCACCAAACACAGGAGCGAACAATGGGTGGTTTGGTGGTTGGTGGACGGGCGGCGGGAGGAGGAGGAACAGGAGGAGGAAGGCTGAGCGGATACAGCACAGCGAAACATATCTCGGAGGCTGTCACGATCACACAGGGCGTACATCCAACACCTTGGAGAGCACCAAGTACTGTGGCAATTGGTTGGTGGCAGTTGGTTGGCGGCAAGCGGGAGGCGGGAGGAGGAGGAAGGAAGGAAGGAAGGAAGGAAGGAAGGAAGGAAGGAAGGAAGGAAGGAAGGAAGGAAGGAAGGAAGGAAGGAAGGAAGGAAGGAAGGAAGGAAGGAAGGAAGGAAGGAAGGAAGGAAGGAGGAGGAGGAGCGGATACCACACTAAAAACAAAAACCCCACACGTCAATGTGGGGAACAAACTCCTTCAGAAGCCTATACTGAGTTGCAGTATCAGCTGTGAAGCCTATACTCAGTGAGAAGCGCTGAACCTTTGAAGCCCCTAAACTCTAAAGCAAGGAACAAGAAAAATGATTCCAGAAACTTTCTAGGAACAAGAAGCTACTAGGAGCAAAGGGCATTGCTACTAGTAGCAAGGACGCTACTAGTAGCTCTTGGCCTTACTACTAGTAACAAGGATGCTATTAGGCTTCAACTGAACAGTGTGTTCCGAGGCTGCCAGACAGCACCCAGTTGAAGTGCCTCAAACCCGAACCTTGCAGCCAACAGCCTGCCAGTGTGAGGATACGCTCTACAAGGAGCCTCTCCCTCTTGTAAGCGCTGACCTCCAGCCTAGTAGGGTCCTTGCTCCTAGTAGCGATGCCCTTTGCTCCTAGTAGCGATCGCCTCCAACCTACTAGCTCCCTCTTGTAAGTGTCTTTCATTCCTCTTCATAAGGCCAGGAGCCCCTAGTAGC